GAGAGAGAGACGAGAGAGAGAGAGAGAGAGAGAGAGAGGAGGGGGGGGAGGAGGGGGATAGACAACTACGCGGCCACAAGAACGCGCACGGGTGATCGAGAGGAAGAGCGAGAGTACCGAGGGGGGCCAGCTCTCCTCCGGGGTGTGGGCGGATTGCACGCGTCTCCCGGTAATGGAGCCCATCGATCATCCCTTCGTGGATAAGATGGTCTCTCCTCCTTTCTGTTCTCTCGCGGATCGTCCATTAGTCAATTTTGTCGATTACCGTGTTGCGACGTGAAGCCGCGAGACAGTTTGGAACGTCTGCTTCGAGATGCGTTCGCGTCATTTCTCGAATCAGTTCGCCGAATCGAAGACGCGGGAGATGTAATGTCGATGACTGAAATTTCCGTGCCGCTCGCGGAGCTTATAAGTCATGCTTTGATGACTTTCCTCGTGTTGTTCCGCTTGTAGGCGGAAACCAGAGTGATGCCAGCAGCAATTCAATTATCAATATCTATTATGAAGATGCTTGCTTGCGCGAACGCCAAGTTGCGAATCGGAAGCTGGAGCAAAGCGTGCGCTGCTAAATTCCGCTCGGATAGATCATCGTAATCTGCGCGCAATCGGTTAAGCCGGAATCAAACTATGTATTAGAGATGGAGATTGCAAATTGAAGATGGAATTCGACCGATCGAGTAATCTCAATCTCACCCTACTTTGTCGTGATGGATCGAATTTCAATCATCAATTCGCAATATTCAATCTCCAATGCACAGCCCGATACGGGCTTTATGTTACTGTTTGCTTCACATCGCATGCCACGTTAATATGCTATCCATTGTTACCGTTACCATTGTTACGTTATATCGATACGATTGTAGTCTATCGTGAGATTAGCTTCGCTCTACAGCCATCCTCTTTTGATTTCCATTAATGATGCGAAATTCTTTTTTTTCTATCTTACAAATCACTATGCGTGTGTTGATTGAAAATAAAGAAAATGCAAAAGACCTTGATACACAATCGCAATAAGACGAAAAGATCAACGCGGATGTATGTACGTTGATATTTATGTCAATTATGATTGTTGAAATTGCGATCACAAAAATGCCAAAACGTTTTCCACATCGGACGTTCTTCAGCGACACAGTCAAAAATTGAGAAAAAAATTATTTAATAAAAATCTGTCCAATAGATTGTATTATTAAATAATAAATTTTTTGCGCCACGACATCTGCGCTTTGATTCTTACGTCTGTTAACTTTTTCTATCCAATACAATTAACTACACAATTGAAATTCACTGAAAAAATTAGAGAAAAAAATCGAAATATTCTGAAAATTTTCTTAAAAAATTGCATAACAATTTACATCACATACACAAGATTATATGAAAGCGTTAAATAGAGACTTCACATAGATTATACAAATGTAGATTTAGAGTTTCGGAGTAGCACTGCGCATATGAAGATTCTTTGTGCGTCTAACAGACGATTACGATTAATTATTTGCAGTGAGGACGCTGGGCGCAGCGGCGACGACATGAAGCATGCAGCATGCGTGGTAGCGGTGTCACGGCTGCGCGGTCTTGCCTTCAACCCCTGGTGTCCGCCAGCCGCTATCTCGCTGTACACGCCCTTCCCGGTGATCCGCTCTACTTCATCGTCGAGGTAAGACAAATGAACCAAAAGCTCAAAAGCCAAACTGACTAATTGCACCAAACAAAACTTCATCAAGTTATTTATGAAAAGTCACGCACTAATCGTGCGTTTTGGTACTAAAATTGGAAAAATTTCAAAAAGTGGAGTTAATTAGTTTGGTTTCTTAGCGATTTAAATGTCAATTATGAACATTATTAACTAATGAGATATTTAATTTTTAATTATTAATTAAGAAGATATTATTTAATTGAACCGCTTGTAGCAAAAAGAAAACATTAATTTATCTTTCACTAATAAGTCAGCAAAATTAATTACAAAACTGAATATTGTAACAATTAGCCTCGGTTTTTCCTAATAGAGCGCAGTAATTACACCATGAATGCTAATAATTATGGAAAAGCTTGCTTGTTAACTGCAGCTCTTATTGTTTCCTTTCCATGGGGTGCGACGGGAAGCGAATAAGTAGAAGCGACAGAAAAACGCACGAGTCAGAACGATTTAGAGATATTTAAGTCATACCTTGCTCCACCTTTTTAGTGTATAATTTTTTAGAAAAAAAACATGCGCATTATTTTGCGTTAAGGGTTTGCATAACGAGCGATTCATGCTTCACAAAAATTGTCCAAATCCTAACATTTTTATCCTGGTTTTTTTCATTTTTTATCTTTTACAAATAAATTTGTTGTAGATCCTATACATCCTCTAATTAAAATTAATATCACGAAAAGAGCCATGTTTTCGATAGAAATGTGACAAAGCACCTAAAAAATGCACAATGGCTAATGTTGTTTGGCGAAAAAGCAGATAGTTGGAAAAGTTTTGGTGTTAATAGCTACGTTTTCTTATTACAGGCTAAATCGAGAGTAAAGGAGGTTTATGCGCAGACATGTACGCTGCTCAGCCAACAGGGCATGCGAGATTGCGAACTTTTTGGCCTGGCAATATTGTCCGGTGAGTTATGCATATTCTTGTGTATTTTATCGCGTTGCGCGCAAAAAACTGATCATGACTGACAGATAAAATTTCAAGCTGGTAAAAAGTCATTAAAAGACTTAACTTGCAATGCACGATACTTATGTAGTTATAGTTCTTTTTTTATTTGATTTTATTTAATAACATTTTATTCAAAGCGCTTTTGAAAACTAACTTCTTACCTGTAAGTTTCCGTTCAATTTTTAAGATAGCAGATTTTATCTTATGCTTCATGCTTTCGCAATCGTGTTGATGAACGAAACGAGCATTGTAAATACTTTGCGCAAAATAATAATCTACTTTCTCTATTATTGTTACTCTTTTTGAGTTATCAAGTTTACGCGCGCAGAAAGAAGACAGCTACCGAGAGACTCATGAATTACGGGGTGCTATTTTTTGAAGGGGAAAATCGCGCGCCACCCTCGAATTAATTGTACTCGAAAAAAAATAGATATTACGATCTTCACGGCGCGTCGTCTGTGACAGAAGGGAGTGGCCAGAAATCACATAAACATTAAACTAGCGAGACGTCCGAGCCTCTTGACTAAACGTCGGGTCTTTCTGCATACCGCACGGCTCACGTTCATCGCTACCCTCACCTCGCTCCCCACCAATCGTGACAAGCCGGTCCAACTGGTGGTCCCCACCACGAATAAAGCCTTTGCGGGCCCTCAAAGGGCCCACGAGACCCTACCCCACCCATCCTTTCTACATTCCAGCGGAGCACCATCACTGGGGCTCGCTTGAGCTCCGGCGGGTTTTGAGACGCGCGAGCCACGGCACGACAGGAAAAAATGCACCTGAGGAACAAGTATAAAAAAAAAGAAGGAGCAACTCGCACTCCCTACACGCGCGTTACGGCTTGCAGCTCGCGGCAAACTCTCTGCGAGCCTTTACTCCACTTGCAATCTAAACAGTTCCGAGTTTTGCTTTCCATCTTTCTTAATGAACTTCAAGTCTCTTCCTTCGTTTTTTTCTGTCCTTCCCATTTTAATCTCTGTTTCGCGGATTCTGTCTTTTTTTTTTGCACTCCTTTTTATTTTGCATTATTTCTCCCGATAGATTGAACGATCGCGTTCGAGGAAAAATCTAATAGTTTCTATAATTGTATAATATATTGAATCATAAAAAAATGTGAATATGATATTCTTAGATAAAATTTATTATTATTCGATAAAATGCAATTTTTTAACTTGAGACCAAATGAGTCATCGATCATATTTTATGAATATATTACACTTTTCCTCACACACGTTTAAAAATAATAACATTCCGTGTCAACTTTGAACCAAAATGTAAGTAATCCATCTATTATTAACGCCGCTTGCAAAATTGTATGTAGTGCATTCGTTTTAAATCTTCTGTAAAGAGTTTATCTTATTGAAAATTTTCTAGTCATGATTTCGTTAAGCTGAGGAACTGCATTTCGTCGAAAATAGTTTGTCTAAAAATTTTCATTATATATCCTCATTGTACAAATTCGCATTGTATGTGATTTAATATAATTAAACTCAATTATTATTGCAAATAAAATTTATATTTATTTTAATAAACATTAGATTTTTTTCTTGACGTGTCAGTCCGCGCTAATTTCTAGAAAAGCCTAAGAAAGAGAGAAGCCGATATTACGTACACAGACGCGCGGCGAGAGACCGAGCGAAGATGTTGGGACCAAAAAAATCGCATATACGACAGAGAGAGAGAGAGAGAGAGAGAGAGGGGGGGGAGGGAAATGCGATAAATGAGAGAGATAATAGGTTGCCATAAGACGGAGGAGAATGACGAGCGGTGGAAAAAAGAGAGAGGCCAGGTGGGATAGAGGGAGAAAAGCGGACGGAAGGGAGACGCCAGAAAGAAAGAGAACGGGGCCCCGGGTAAGACGGTAGCCCGGTGATTTGTATAAGGCCTCTCGTATTCCATCTCTCGGTCCGAGCGTCTCCGCCGGCACGGCGCGACGCGGCGGCTCCGCACACAGGAATGTGGAAGGAGGGCGCCGTGTACGGAGATCGTCGGCGCACGACGCGGGGCGGAAGAGGGGCGAGAAGATCCGACCTGGACCCGTACGGCGGCGGGGCGGTGGGGAGGTAACGGAGAATAGGCCCCGGCACAGGTCCACGGGGATATATATCGCGGCGAGGTTGAGGCTACGTCACAACAGGGCTTCAATGTCTTCCCCCGTCCCTTCGCGCCATGCTGTACGCGACGATCCTTCTCCAGCGAATCTCACCACCGCGAGCAGCACCTCCCGAACCGTCGCTCGCTCAACGCTAGCGAGAGCCTTTGAGCTTTTTAGGGAAGAGACCTGCTTTTCTATCCTTTTTTAACTAATGTTTCGCTTTGTTATTTCTGCAGCCCTTTTTTTATCTTCTCCCAACGGATTCGACCGGCCTTAGTTACGATTATACGGAGAATTTTAGATGGCAGGATTCTTCTTGATGAATTTCATCATTGTTAATACGGGAAACCGAACGACTTAATTTGGAATAATATTCAAAATTATCTTATATTACACAGTCGAATTTGGGCGCAATTATTAACATTTCAATTTGTAACTATTTTGTTGAGAAAAAAATATTAGAAGTACCCGAAAAATGCCGTTTATTATTTTGTACATAAAAAGGCATGAATAAATCGAGATATAAAATTCATTATTCACTCAAGAATATAATTTATGTAACTGTTTATGATTGCACCTATGGATTATAGGTGAAGTCATAACTTTATATTTTTTCTTACATATACGATAAACGACATTATTTTCGGATATTTCTAATATCTCATTACGCTTATCTTTCAAGAAGCATATTTTTTTGGCATTATTGATTTCACAATTATAAATTTATTATAAATTGATTATTATTATATATATTACTACACATGTAGTAAAATATATTAAAAATTATAAATTCAATGTTATCAATACCTTCGATTAGGAATTAATTCATGAATATACGGGCTTTTTATATCCAGCGATCCGCGTATTTATGCTTATACCTTCTTAATATTTATCAGAGTCACGACTCGTTTTTTATAATGATGAGAGGGAAGGGTCTTGGATCTAAAATCGAGGCTGGGACCAGGCACGTTCGCGAGATTCCTTGAAAGAAGCCTTTGCGATCTCTCTCTCTCCTTCTCTTTCACGTTCGAAGGGAGATCGGATCGGTAGAGGATAGCCAACGAGAGTGCGAAGGGCAGCGAAGGAAAGAGATGAGCAGGATCCCCCTCTCAGCAATCAGGAGTGATTACGGGTGTAATTATGGTTACGGCGCATTACTGCGCCACGCTAAAGTCGAGAGAGAGAGAGAGAGAAAGAGGGAGAAAAAAAAGAGAGAGTATTGTTTCTTTCTGGGAAACCGACGGGTTCATGAGAGAATCTCGCCCATCAGATTTTTCTCGTCGCGACATAGAACGTTCTATTCCGACCTTTTCGATGTTCTCTACACTCAAAAAAATATTTCGCTGATGTAGTTAGATTTCTAGATATCGCAACAAGAATGTATCGCTATTTTTCGTATCTGTGAAAACATTGTTTGTCACATATAGAATTTATAACAGTAATGTTCTAGCAATAGCTTCTGAAAAATTTAGGTACCATTGCTAAATGTTATTCATTGCATGATCTAACACGTGATTGATCTTATATAGATAGGCGCTTTAAAGAAACTTTCTTTTTAAAGTTCACAAACAATACAGATATATATTCTGTTTTTGTCATCTAAACTGATTAAGTAATTACATATGCAATATCACAACAGTTGCTAATCATTTATCTGTTTTAGTTAATTTTTTACACCTAGAAAATTTTAGCTATTATTGCAAGTATCATTTTTTTGAGTGTATAAAATGCGACGCACATTTGTCCATCAAAGCAACACAGATATTCCCGTGTAACTGTAAATTGAGAATCAAAGTTGAGAATATACATATGTATTGAGTTGTGTAACAAATAATTTGAGACTTCCAAAATAAATCTGTTCTGCTTCTTTTGTTAGACAAATTTCAGTGATTAGCACATTTGATTAGCACATAAATTAGATATTTGTTCGTTAAAGTTGTCAATCAAGTTTTGTCTGTTTATTATTTCGTACGTAAAGAAAGGTGCAAATCAGGACATAAAATTTATTACTCAGGAATATAATTTACATTATTATTACGATTTTTTCACGTTGCGTAAAAGCGTGCTGCGTAAAAAACACTAATATCATCATTGGAAAAGACGAAATTATTTATTACGCAGTCCAATATATCACGGTTGACGATTTAGTATTTTTTAATATTTTATACTCCGTTTTTTTCGTTATCATCGCAAACTGTGCAGTGAACTGCGAACAAAACAGACTAATGCCCGATTCCACCAACGTAGATTAACTTTAATCTCGGTTCTAATTCTTAGAACTAGAAACAGATGAAGAGTAAGTTGAACCGAGATTAAAGTTAATCACATTGGTGGAAATGGGCATAAATCTAGACCCTTTTGTACGGAAGATTAATAGATACAGATTTTTGAAGCGAAATAGAAGAGGCGAAATGGAGAGACAAACGCGACGCGAACTCGATTGTGTTTCAGTGAGATAAAGAAAAAAAGGAAGATCCATTCGTGACTGCGAAATATATCTCCCGAGAAATACGATGGGCCCTATGGACCCGATGGATCGTTACAGGCCAGGGTTAGCCGCGGGCAACATTCCCCGATAATGGTTGGGTTATACCTCGGGTAACACAGGTGCTCTTCTCCACGGAGAGTGAGCGCGTCGAGAGAATACCAGGGCGACTTAAGTCCATTTTAGACCACTTGTAATTTGCCACAGAAATCGATGCTATGTATAATTTTATATTGCGTGCAATATAAAAAAACTGCAGAATCAAAATTACAATAACGTATTTCTGTAAAATAACAAATGTTTTGGGGCAAATAAAAATAATTGAAATGGATAAAAATAAAAATTTCTACAGGTAGATAAAATATGTTTGTTATTTTACTGATAAATTTAACAATCAACGGTATTCGAAAGTTTCGCAGACAGACTGCACGCGAAGGGGTCCTGAAGGCCTCTGCTTACAATCCCCGTTTGAAGTTCTGAATCAAATTCCAGTTTGAAAAGCATGATATTGTGCCGTAAAAATACGAGTATTTGGGTCCTATGTAGGTAGGACAGGTTGGGACCTTTTCATTCACAAACATCTCTCGTAGTCTTTCATTGTTTCGCTCGTTTAAGAAATATCGGAGAGTTGTAAGACATGCAAAAAAATCGTACGTGCTGGAAGAATGAGTTTCCGAATTTCATGGAAGAACCATATCCGGGAAAAAACCATACTATGAGCACGTATACGTTTCCTATGTTTATTTTGCGCTAACGCTGCATTTCAGAATGCAGTGCGCGATATGTCTCATTGATCTAACGATCTATTCCTTTGTTATTATGATAAAAACGTAAAATCCACTTTATTTCATTCTCGATAAGATTTATAATAAAATTTTATACATAAAATTATTTAAAGATTGCTGATAAATAAGATAACTAAATAAGATAAATAAGATAACAAAATAAAAAATGTAAAGAAACAACGATAATTTTTTTGTGACATCGCTATAACAATTAAGATATTTGTTTCGATATTCCGTGAATTTAAAATTTAAATCTGTAATAAGTAATTTCAGACTTTGAAATTAAATCTGTCAATATTGTTTGTTGAGCAAAGCGCAGTTTAATTAACATGTAAATTAAATATTTGTTTGTCGAAGTTATAATCAAGTTGCGTCTGTTTCTCACGATTTTTTAAGTGTACTGTGTAAAAAATATGAAATACTTGTTGGAAAATACGAAATTACTTATTACACAATTTAGTATTTTATATTTGATGTTTGCCCACAGAGATTGTAGATTTGCACTGAGATACATGAGTTATTTTTACTGTTTCAGACGGCGAGTATCTCTTCGTGGATCCCGAGAATAAGCTGAGCAAATACGCCCCGAAGAATTGGCGAAACTCTCATACATACGTAAGTAGCTGCTTATTTGTCGCTTATCATTTGTCAGAACGCGATTAAACGCTGATTCCCTACTCTCGCGCATTATGCTATGTCTACTTATCGCTGTGAAATCTCGTTCGTCCATTCTGCGAACGATTGCGAATTAAGGACGAATAGCATCAGCGAGCGGAAACAAAATAAATAAACTATTTACGAATAGCGAAGAGCACGTTCCGAATATGTAGCGCAGGCTGCTTTGCTCGGATTAGCATTACCATCCATCGGGGCGCGATGGCGACCGTGCGTTTTGCCTTGAGGGTAGTGTTAAACAAGCATACGGCAGCAACCGCTCTCCTTCAAGACGAGTAGCCGCAATATATCCTGGCAAACTCGTCGAAGGAATGCGAAAAAGAATTGAGGATACGAGAGAGAGACGGAGAAAGAAAGGGAGAGAAATGCAATTTATAGCATATTTTAATGATGGGGGTCCCTTTTAACAACAATCGTTTTATAACTGCAGTTGGAGTTTGCCCTGGATAATAAATACAAAAAAAAAAAAGATTCCAATTAACATACAAAGGTGAACTCGTCTCTCACAAACATTCTGTGTAGCTCACGTATTTGCAACCCCCGTTGATTTAAAAGAAAAAATCTGAGAATGCAATTTAAAGGCGGTAGACCGTTCACATATTCTGTGCTCAGCCCCCTCTTCTTCCCCGGCTTAAAAATAAAAATATTCAATCAATC